CTCAGGCGAGGCGCTGGTTTCAGCACTCCGAAGGGGGGCGCCAAGGGTGAGGATAACCTATGGTTCAGAGGCACTCACCTCGGACTCCTGCGCACTCAGGCTCACCCACTCATCCAACGGGATGTGTTCAGACTCAATCACCTCCAAAGTCGCTCGCACTGGGCCTGACCCACCCTTCGACAAACAAGCACCAAAATGTACTCCCATTCAGATTCGCCAACCCTCAGGCCCACCCATGCGCAAACACACATGTACTCAGACTCACTCAGGCCCAAATCCTTACCCATCATACTCATACTCAAACCCACTCACAATCGGAATTCCCCACGCCCAGACCCACGCGTACTCTGATCCACTTACACCCAGCCAGATACACTCACACTCAGACTTGCTCACACTCAGGCACATTCATACTCACACACAGACTCGCCGCTAATAGTCAGGCCCGCTTACACTCAGGCTTGCTCGCTCTTAGACTTGATCACGCTAGTGCTCGCTCGCCTCAGACCCACTCATACCCAGACTCCCTCGTACCCAATTTTGTTCTCACCAAGCTCATTATTGCCTGGGCTCGCCCCGTCTCAGGCTCGCTCTCACTCATTCTCGCGCACACTCAGACAACTCACGCCTCCTCACCTCACTACTCCTTTTTCCCCCTCGCACTCAGGCTCGCTCAGACTAACGCGCACGCAAGCTCACTCATAACCAAACTCGCTCATACGCAGGCTCAATCACAACCATACCCACTCACAACCCGACTCGCTCACACTCAGACTCACCCACAGCGAGATCCACTCGCACTCAGATTCTCGCACACCAACACTCGGAACCAATCGCACCCAGACTCACTCACACTCAGACTCATGCATCCTCAGACCCAGGCTCGTCAAACTCATACTTTGACCCACTCAAACTAAAACTTGCTCAGACACACGCCCTCTCACCCTCATGCTTTCTTCGACTCGCTCACATTCATACTCGCTCGCGCTCAGGCCCACTCACACTTCGACTAAGCCACGCTCGGATTTTCATTCAGGTTCGCAAATTCCCAGACCCACTCATACGCGAACTCACTCGTACCCCAATACGCTCGTACCCTGACTCATGCCCATCGTACTCATACTCTCTCACATTCGGACTTACTCACATTCAGACTCACTCATGCTCAGACTCGGTCATACTCAGACCCGCCCACACTCATACTCACTCGCGCCCAGCCTCGCTCGTACTCGCTCATAGACTCTCTCATACTCAGACCCACTCACACTCAGACTTGATCGCGCCCAGACTTGCCCACGCTCAGACTCACTCGCGCTCAGGCCTACTTAAATTCAGATTCGCTCATGCTCTGACTAATTCATACCCAGACTCGCTCGCACCCAAGCTCAACCGTTCCTGAGCTCACTCGCACTCAGACTCACTTCCACTCCAACCACTCACACCTCCTCACCTCCCTCCTCCTCTTCCTCCCTCCCTCGCACTCAGGCTCACTCACACTCAGACCCGCTCATATTCAGACTCACTCATGCTCAGTCCCACTCACACTCAGACCCACTCGCACCCAGACGCGCTCGTAAAGATACTCAGCCGCACTAAGATTCACTCGCATCCATATACGCTCATGCTCAAACTCTAACACACACACTCAGACTCACTCGCGCTCAGACTCACTCACCCTCAGACTCACGCATACTCAAGCTCAGACCCGTCAAACTCATACTCTGACCCACTCACGCTCAATTTTACTCACACTCAGGCTTACCCACACTCAAACTCACCCATACCCGGACTCATCCGTACTCAGACGCGCCCGTATACTCAGACCCTCTCATACTCACTCACACTCGAACTCAGTCATTCCTGGGTGCACTCGCACTCAGATCGCTCACGCCCAGATCCACTCGCAGTACTTTCTATTCTGATTGGTCAATGGTCCCTCGCTCTTCACCTGCGCTTCGCTAATCTCTCCTGGCAAATTTCCAGAGGAGGAGGAGGAAGTCACTGAAGTCGTCGTCGTCGCGCCCATCGTCTACGAGGATTCGCGCTCACACCCAGATGCGCACAAACAGACTTCCTCAGCGAGACGTGGCAATGATATGAGAAACACATATGGGGATCTCCGCGTCGAGTGATTAGTACGCCCCCCTCCCGCACTCTGCCGGCCCCTAACCATGACCAGTACCGACAACCCCAGTCATCCCTGTCAGCAGGCATACAAATACACTCTGCGGCGACATCTTCATCATGGTCGGGCGCCCCGCGATCATCGTGTTTTGTCAGGGGCAAGGTCGTATTTCAATATTGTACCACGCTTGCAGGCCCACCATCCCTGCTAAAACTACTGCGGCGTGCACGTTGCGACAACATCTAGGACCATGCGCGGGTGCCCCGAGATCATTTTGCGCCGTTACTTGGCATGGGTGATGGGGGTGCCCTGGCACGCGCGGCGCACATCGCGGGCGTCGCGACACCTGGCTGGCGTCTGCACTGGTTCCCGATGGCTGTCGACGGCGGCCCCTGCCAATGCTGAGGCTCGGGCGCTATTTGTGTGTTGGGAGGGCGGGTGAAAGTGAGACGGCTTGCGGCTTGTGGGTAGCTTGACCGCCCCACTACCCCATTCCATAGGCTTGGACAGGGAGGAGGGGGCGGCGAGGCGTCAGAGCTTCCAATATGGCTCGACATGGCGCCACGATGGCCTCATATAGCTAGCCCAAGGTGATATCACATGTTCCCCAACATGTTTTACAACATGCCTTCAATGAACCCCTAGACTGCTCCAATACGGCCCAAGTGGCCACGGAGCCTCCTACGGACGCCCACGAGAGGCCCAACCACTTCAACACCTGAGGAACACCAACGTGTTTGACCTTCTCGCCTTTTCGCTTCCGATGCGATTTTGGAGCCTCAGAATGACTCCAATATGGCACAAGAGGTCCAAAGGAGGAGCTCATGAGGGCTTCAAGACTGTCCACGGAATGTCCCAAGAGGCGAGTTTTCGGGCTCTGGAGGGGCGGGGACAATTAATTCATGACCACCCTTACTTGATCGATGGCCTTCAAGATGGCCCGAGAGGTCCCCAAGGGGGTCCCAAAAGGGCTTCGAAGGCCCCCGAAATGGCCCCAAGGGGCTCCAAGTTGGCTCCATGAAACTTCCAGATCGAAAGGTCCGCGTCCGCAAAGGCCTTTCCGGTTGTATATTTATCGTCGTCGCCGCCATCTTCTGTTTCCTCCTCGATCCTTCTCCTCCTCCTCCTCCTCCTCCTTCCACAACTTCCTCCTTTTCATTATTCTCCCCCTTGCCTTCGCCTCCTCCTCCTCCTCCTCCTGACAATTTATCAGACGTTGAGCTGCAACGTGTTCCGTCAAACTCATATTCCTTCGGCTCTTCTTCTTCCTCCTCTTCCTCCTCTTCCTCGTCACTCCTCCTTCCCTCTCCTCCTCCTCTCCTGATCATTTTCCTGTTCCCACCTCCTCCTCCTCCTCTCCTCCTCTTCTTCCTCCTCCTCCTAATTACACCTCCATCTCATTCGACAGTGCCGCGAAATGCCACCAGCCCTTCAAGGCGTGAGAGCCTCCCTTTTTTCCCTCCAGGGAAGGGTTCACCCCTCTCCCTCCCCCATCCCCCTGGGTCTGGAGTGAGCGTGTCGCCGGTCGTTAGAGTGTCCAAGATGGCCTCGGCGAGGAAGCCAACATCATTGATGTTACCAAGTTTTTGGCTACATTCTGGTCTCATGGGGGGGGGGACCTAATTGGGGAGCTCCCCTCCTCTTTTCGATCTCCGCCGCGATGGCCCAAACATGATCCACACGGCTTACAAGGGTGCTACAAGAGAGCTCCAAGAGGTGCCCAGGAGGCCCCAAGAGCTCCCAAGAGTCTCCCAAGGGGCTCACAAGACCCCCAACTGCCAAGAGATTTCCAAGACGCCTCAAGAGGACTCCAAGGAACTCTCGAAAGAAATCCGAACAAACTCCGAGAGGCATCCAAGAGGCCTCTGGCCTTTCTGCTCGCCCTCCTCCTCCTCCTCCTCCTTCTCTTCCTCCTCTCCCTCATCCCTGTTCCTCATCCTTTCTCGTCCCTCCTCCCCCTCCCCCTCTGCCTCCTCCTCCTCCTCCTCCTGCTCCTCCTCTTCCTCCTCCTCTTCCTCCTCCTCCTCCGCCTCCTCCTCTTGCTCCTCCTTCAACTCCTCCTCCATCCTTCCCCTCTCGGGGTACGACGTCTTACCCAACCCTTTTTCACTGCATTCTACTCCACACCCCTGATCAGGGCAACTCGTCTGAGAATCGTTTCTGGATGGGCTGGTGGGGTTGCGCGAAGCGACTAGAATCAAATATGCTTCGCTTCTGGGTCTGCCCAGGCTGATCCCAAACTCGTGCCGATGGCTGCTTCCCCCCCCTCGTTCAACTGTACGCTCCTACATCATCCTGGTCAAGGCAGCTCGCCTAGGCATCGTTACTGGATGGGCCAGTCGGGCTACTCGAAACGTCAAGAATGCGACAAGAAGACCCCACGGCCTAAAGATTGCATCGCACATAATCCCGGTATCGCCTGAATATTGCGCGAGTGAACCACGCTGGCCCGAGGCGGCCCAACCAAAGCCCACGCATTGCTCGAATCCGAGCCCCCCCGCCCAGGCCACGAGCCCATCAGCCCCGCCAAGAGGAGGCGTGAACGCGATTCCGAACCGAGACGACGCAGACCGAACGCGCACATCTCCCACCAGACGGCACCCGAGCGCGAATCCGTCATTGGGGACCAGGGAATCATTCAGGTCAGCGCTGGGCTCCGAGGGAATTGCTTGAATGCCGCCAGAGCCGCGCGAGCCCTGACCCGACCAGTCATCCGTGGAACTGCCCCCTCAGGGCCACAACGAGTCGGGTCAGCACTCGGGCCTCCCGAGCACTACCTGAACGAATTCGGCCGACCCGAACGCTGACCGGACCCTTTTTTGGATCCCGAGCAATTGGGTGGGTCGGCGGTAGAGGACGACGCCTTTTGCATTGCCAAGATTGCGTCTCGTCGCGGCGACCTCCGAGTGGCTGTCACCGAAATAGAATATTTTGATCTTCAGCGCTGCCTCGAGCTGCTTGCGCGCCTCTGGCAACTCTCCGAGACCGATCAAGACGGCGCCCAAATCGTTCATAGCTTTGGCGCACTCCGGGTGGTCACCGCCGAGGATCTGTCTTTGGGTCGCCACTGCGCTCTCTAGCTCTCGTCGCGCCTCTGGCAAGTCCCCGAGGTCCATCAAGACGGCGCAAAGGTTGCGCCTCACGTTGGCAACCTTTGGGTCATTGTCCCCGAAGTGCTGCCGCATCTTGCCCAGTGCCGTCTCGAGCTGCCGTCGTGCCTCTGCCAGCTCCCCAAGACCGACCAGTAGGATGCCTAACTTGTTCCTGATGCTGGCAATATTTGGGTGATCTTCCCCGCGATGCTCTGTTTCAATTCTCAGCGCCGCCTCGAGCTGCTTTCGCGCCTCGGGTGGCTCAAGATTCATCAAAACGGTGCCCAGGTTGCATCTCGCGGTGGCGACCTCCATGTGGTCATCGCCGAAATGGTGCCTTTTGATCTGGAGGGCGGCCTCGAGCTCCTCTCGCGCTTCCAGCAACTCGCCAAGATTGGTCAAAACGGCGCCAAGCCATTCCCTGGTCCTGGCCACTTCCAAGTGGTCTTCCCCGAGAAGCTGCCTTCTGATCTTCAAGGCTGCCCGGAATTCCCCTTGCGCCTCTGACATCATCCCCATTCCTTCTAGGACGGCACCGAGGTTGTGACTCGTTGATGCGACTCCTAGTGGCTGATCTTCTTCCCCGAAGTGCTGAATGTGAATTTTCTGGGCCGCCTCGAACTGCCGCCTTGCCTCTGGCAGATTCGCCCTTTGCATGAAGACACTTCCAAGATTGTACCTCGTCCTGGCGACCTGCAGGTGTCTGTACCCGTAGTGCTGGGTGTGGACCTCAAGGGCCTCCTCGAGCATGCATTGCGCCTCAGACAATTCCCCCAAGGCCAGGTGAACGACGCCGAGCCACTCCCTGTTTTTAGCCACCTCGGGGTGGTCTTCCCCAAAGTGCTGCGTTCTGATCAGCAGGGCCGCCTTGAGCTCCCGCCGCGCCTCAGGCAACATGCCCAACTCCTCCAAAACAGAGCCGAGGTTGCCCCTGGTCTCGGCGACCTCTGGGTGAGTGTCCTCGAGCTTGCCGCTGTAGATGGCAATCGCCGCTTCAAGCTCCTGACGTGCTTCCAGCAACTGACCCAAATCCTTCAATACTGTGCCGATGCCGTTCCTTATGATGCCAACCTCAATGTGATTATCCCCGAGATGCTGTTTCTTGATCGTGAGAGCCGCAGACAAATGTTCCAGTGCAGCTCTGCTGTCACCTGCGTTCCTCAATAACACTCCCAGATTGCCCAGTGCGTGCGAATGTTCGATGCTACCTGCTCCATGCTGGAAACATGTAACATCTACTTGGTAACGGTACGCACCAAGGAGAGACTCCTGCATTTGCTTCGACACGGTATCCCTTCCAATGTGGTCTAACTGCTCAGCGATGTACCTACGGTCGCCTTCTTCAGTGCACATTGCTGTGCACCAGTTGATATAATCAAATCCACTGCCTACTGGAGTCAGCGAAGGGACTAAAAGACGCTTGCCAGCCTCGCGAGCTCTGACAGTCTCGAACACTACCCACAATCGCTCAAGTGCGGAGAACTTGCCGTCCAAGCACAACACCTGCGCCAATGTGTCTGGCGACTGCAGGGCGCTGGTGAAGACCTCAGGATCGCTCTTGAGTTCCGATCGGCTTCCACTCTGGGTTCCGTTCTGGCTGCAAGCAAAATCCGCCACCGTGCCGTAGACGCGGAGTGGATTGTCCTCAGGTCGCAATCGAATTTTCTGATCTACTGAATCTTGGAAATGCTCTTGAGGGACCCGTGGCCAAAGGTCACGGGCGCATAGGGTTCTCTTGGATGCTCTCTGGGCGGCTCGCGTACCTCTTTTGGAGGCCTCGGCCAACGATGGTCTCAGAGCCCGTTCTGGACCCATCTCGGGCGCATCGTGGGCCGTTTTGGAGGCGCTGGGGGCAGGCCCAAGAGGGCAACATCTCTGAGCATTCGGATGTCTTTCTTCCCCAAACGGTGCTTGCACGTAGGGTTTCAGATCTAGGTTCCTGACAGAGTTGGGTGGGTCAGCCAAGGTTTCATCTAGTGTCCGCCCGTGTGCCTTTCGTGGGCGCCTTGTGCGCTGGGTGCCCGCCCGTGGGTTCCTCGTGCGCTGGCTGGCCGCATAACTTGCACCGCGTCGCTTTCAACGCATAGTTGACACAACATAGCTGACACTAATCAGCTTGCACCACATATAATGCACCGCATGTATCACACCACATAGCTTGTACCATATAGCTTACTCCTCCACGGCATTGCTTGCACCACATAGCATTATATATAATATGAGAGAGAGAGAGCGTGATCCACCGCCGCTTTACTGTGGAAAATTGCCAACCTTTTCCTCCGGAACCCTGGGGTCGCCCCCCCCCCCTCCCTCCTACCCCTCCCCCTGGTGGAAAATTCGAAAACCGGGGGGGGTCACTACCGGTTTTCCTACCGGAACACCTCGGGCAAACGACTCGTCCCCCACCCCCCACATCCCCCACTCCCAGCACCACTCCTCACCACCACTGTCCCCACTGGTTCCACCACCGTCCCTACTGTCCCCACCAGTGCCCCCACCACTGTCGCACTGTCCCCACTGTCCCCACCACTGTTCCCACCACGGTTCCACTCTCCCCACTTTCTCCACGGCCCCAACCACTGCCCGACTATCCCCACTGTCCCCACTGTCCCACTGACTCCTCCGCTGTCCCACTGAGCTGTCCCACTGTTCCCACCACTGTCCCCACTGTCCCCACCACTGTCCCCACTGTACCTCTGTCCCATTGTCCCACCACCGTCCTCGCCACCGCCTTCACCACTGTCCCCACCACCATTGTACCCTCCACTGTCCCACTGGTTCCACCTCATTCCCACTGTCCCCGCACCACTGTCCCCACCACCACCGTCCCCACCACTGTCCACTGTCCCCCCTGTTCCCACCATTGTCCCCACCACTGTCCCCACCACTACCGTCCCCACCGCTGTCCCACTGTCCCACTGTCCCCACCACTGTCCCGCTGTTCCCTCACCACCACTGTCCCCACCAACACCGTCCCCACCACTGTCCGCACCCCCACTCGGTTTTCGAGGAGGGGGGGGGTTCGAACCGGTAGTGACCCCCCCCGGTTTTCGAGGGGGGGGGGTTCGAACCGGTAGTGATCCCCCCCCCTTTTCATGATGAACTGGGAGGGGGGGGGGGGGTTCGAACCGGCAGTGACCCCCCCCGGTTTTCCGGAGGGGGGGGGGGAGAGGGGTTCGAACCGGTAGTGACCCCCACGGTTTTCCGCCAGCAGCGGTAGAACACGCTCTTTCATATATAACGGACAGCTTGCATCACGCAGCTTGCACCACTTAGCTTGCGACGTGTACACTACACAGCAGAGCTTACACCAAGTAGCTTGCATCACATAGCTTGTGCGCCCATAATGAGAAGACTTACTGCATGGGGTCCACGCCTGCAATACTGTGTCCTCTAGCAAACTCTGCTCTTTCGTCTTAGGAGTGCCAAAGACTGCCCAAGAGGCCCCCAATATCGCCCCAAGGCGACCTCCGGCCCCCCTCAGAAAGAAACCCCAAGATGCCTTTAAGAGGCCTCTCGTCGACGATTCAGGCGCGGTGGTGGGATGGGGCGAAGGCCACTAGATAGTCGAGCCAAAACACCCCGCCGCCGCCCATGGCATCAAGCTGCTCGAGCACCTCGTGAAAAGGACACCGCCATGCATGGGACACGAAGTAGGTGACCCTGGAGGGGCCACCGCTCTCTGGCCACAGCCGCTCCATTGCATCCACTAGAGGTCGCTCCCCCTGGCATGTGAGGTTCTTGACGAAGAGTTCTACGATGAGCCAGGTCGGAGCCATTTCCAAAGGGATCTCCTTGCCCGTGGACGGGTCGAACACCAGGCCCGCGTCGCCCTTGCAGTGCTCCTCGCAATGTCTCCAGAATCGCCTCGGCTGAGACATCACAATAGAAACGGTCACGCACGTCGCTGCTCACCTGCCAGGCTCGCTTTGGAGACGCTCCAGCGGGCGAGCGTGACCGGTCAGAGCTAGGGGTGCGAACGGTCTTCAACCGTTCCCATCGGTGCGCGGCTGAAGTGGGATTCCGCGGCGCGGATTCTGCTGTTATTTGCTGCCGAATTCTCGTTTCTATATCACAATCGCTGTTGATCGCCCCCCTCTGGTGCACCTTGTGCTTTCTGTGGAAGTGCCCCTCCAGGGGCTCGCACCCTGTTGCTGCAAGGCAAAGTCTTTGGCCTCAGACTGGGTCCCTGGCCCCTGAACCATGAGAGCAGTGGCTACCGCTCGATACTTCCTCACAATTCATTGAGCAATCAGGCTTTCGCTGAAGATTTCTGTGTAGTTTATCCAGGGATCGCGCTCTCGCCTGAGACTTCTTTATGCTTTATATAGAAACAGCTCTCTCGGCGTCGCGCTGTCGCTGGGGACTTCCGCATATATCCACTCAGGAACCACGCGTTCGCATGTGCCTTCGTTGCCACCCCTTCCTGCTAATCCTTCCTCCATCTTCTCCCTCCCTCCCTCTTGCCCCCTTCCCTCCTCCCTCCCTTCCTCCACTCCCTTCCTCCTCGCTCTCCTTTTTCCATTCTTTCTGTCCCTTCTGTTTGAATGGCTGGGCCAATTGCACGTGGCAGGGAGGGAAGATGTACCACCCAAAAGGGGTACGATCGAAGACGGAGAAGGCGGGTATCGAGGATGGAGAGATACAAGTTGAATGACACGAGAGTCTATGAGAATACTAGTTCTTGTTGATCACCAACCTTCGGTGACCAGTGTTTTTCGATTCAAATGCTCCTCCTGGGGCTCGCACCCGTTTTGTTATCAGGCCAAATCTGGGGTCACCGAACACCCCCCCCAATTTGCGACGACAGCGGCTCCCGCCGGATACTTCCTTACAATTTATTCCAACATCGCTTTCTGACAATGTATGCAGGCATCGCGTTCTCGCCTGGGACTTCCTCGCACCTCACTCAAACGCAACACTCTCGACGCTCAGGAATCGCGCTCTCGATGTGGCTTTTATCGCGATTTACTTGGGAATCGCGCTACTGCTTGAGACCTCTATTTATGCAGAACTCACGCTTCAACAATCCGCCTGCTCGACCTGGCCACCTGGGCTCGCCTTCCCGACCCGCCCGATCAGTCCTTCTGGTTCTGCCGCGCGTTTTCTGCTCCTAGCCACCAATATCAAAATGATTGTCGTTGTTGCTGCTGCTGTTGTTATCGTCCTCGCCCGCGACCCGCCCGCGACTAAACCGCGCCCCGCCCCGCGACCCACCCGCGATCCACCCGCGACCCGCTCGCGACCCACCCGCAAATGAACCGCGACCCACCCACATTGCTTTGACGGAAACTCGGAGCCTCGCAAAGTGCCGACGACCCCGCTGTCCCCTCACTCTCATCCGCCACTGTGGGGGCAATGGTGAGCAATCTCGCTGCCCTGGAGATCCCTGGAGGCCTCTGAGGTCAGAAATCACGCCGAATGGGCAAACAAGACACGCACGCACACGCACACACGCACAGGCACACGCACACGCACGCGCGCACACACACACACACACACGCACACACACACACACACACACACACACACACACACACACACACAC